TGTCTTAGGATTTCCATAAGAATCTAGTGCAAGCAGGATTAGTAAGATAGGAGAAGTAGGAGAATTTCTGCAAGTAAGCAGGGAGAAAGTAAAAGTAGCTCTAGTCTCAAAAATCCCCAAAGTTGCCTTGGTTTTCCTTTGTTCCCTTATTTCTTCTGTGAGTCTGTTCGTCTCCTTGATCATCTAAATTCACTCTCCCCAGTTCTCAGTATCCTTCTTTCAGATGTAAGGAAACTGAGATAGAGAAATAATTTTATATATTTTAAGGAAAGATCATTGTGAAATATGCTGGCTGTCTGGGTGTTAGAAAAGAAAGTGGGTGAATAAAACAAAAATCCACATGAGAGTGAAGGAGTTTGGGAGTACGATCCAATTAAGAGCACAGAAGAGTTATAATTTTCAGACTCGGGTATCTTAGATGACATAGTATTCTATTGTGAAGTATTTGCAGGAAATCAACATGTAGAACCAAGGTGGGATTGAAGGGACCTTTAGAAGGAAACAGTCTATACTTCAACTTTCAGACCTTCTGAAAGTGACAATTACATACAGACTTGGAGCATCTTCAGGGATGAGTCTTATTCATCTGAGTATTTCAAGTACTTGGAACCTAAGAGGAGGTTCTTGAAAAACCTTGTCAGATGAAATGGTTGGATGTATTAGAGTTTGTTAACTGGAAAGTGAGTACACATATTTTTACCAAATAAAGTTCCCAAGTTGTCTTAAAACTGTAAAATGATTTTCATGCAAAGGTAAAATTTGCCTTGTTCGCAAGAAGCAACTTTCAACAATTATATAAATGTAACAAACACAGCAATTTCAAAGATAAAATGTTGGCATTCCCGCATGAGCTGCAAGCTTGGAATCACAATAGCATCTTGTAAGATTCTGGAAGGCTGCAACTTTGGAAGAGTATGCTGTGAAATACATGCTGTACAGATAGTTTTTTATTTGCTCATTTATTTATTGGACCCTCAGCAAGTAGTAAGTCCTGGCGACAAAAAATAACAAAAGATAAGTTTATAATCTAATAGTGAGACTGGGGTATAATCTCTGCATTGGTGTAGAAGATAAATAGAAAATGGAGAATAGAGGGTAAGAGAATTATTAGCAAAGAACTCAGAAAGCTCCTTTGAGCATTTATGCCTGTAACTGGATGCCTTAGTGGTAGTGATGGAGACACATGATACAGAATTCTTGCTGTGTCTCCATGCAATTTACAATGTCAACAGGAGGATAGGATTAACCCTTACAAATACTAGAGAACAATACAGAAGAGTATATAATGAGATCACCTTTTAATTCCATGTTCATTACTCAATTCATTCCTGCAGTCACACATTAATTTCCTCAACGTATGTCTGTGGAGTACTTACCACGTGCCAGGCTCTTGGCTAGCCATGGAGATAAAGTGATAAACATGAGAGTCAGGGTCTTACAGAACAGATAATCTAGCAGAGAAGATGGACTTCAGACAAGTAATGCCAATATGTAATGAGTATTATAGTAGGGAAAACACAGGAAGGGAACATAGAGCAGGGGAATCTAACCTGGTCCAGGCCTCCCTGAGGAAGTAAAATGGAAACCCAAGTGGCGGGGTGTCCACTGTTTCTGACAGTGACTCCCCCATATTCCAGCCAGTAGGTCCTTTCCATCTGCAACTCTCATCTTGTTGTTTCAATTCTCCTTTTAATATAGTTCCTGTTCCAGTTATAAAACTCCTATGAATCCTGACTTCTTACAGTACAGTAGACAAACTTTTATGCTGGAAGCCATCCTCCTTTCTTTTTCTAAGAGGCACTATCCCTATTTAACTTCTTTTTCCAGATTAAAGAATATCATTTAACATCATTATTTCACACTTGACCGTTCTCACTCAGGCCACCACCATGATGAGTTCCATCCGTGCATGCGCAAGTTAAATGTAGACACCATTTCTAAGAGGTACATCTATTTTCTCTCTCTTAAGACTCTAAAGTATTTGAAGGTAATCCTCATATCTCTAACCTATTTTCTCTAATCCCCACAACATCCATGGTAATGATACTATAATCATAATAGATATAGTGATAAAAGCAACCACTATCACTTACTGAAAGCTTACTATGTACCAGTCATTTTGCAATATCCTATATACATTATCTTACCTAATATTTATAAGATGCCTATGAAATGGTTATTATTATCTCCATTTTTCAAATGATTTATAGGGATTAAAAGTTTGGTCAAAGTCACAGTTATTACAAGACATTTGAGATTTGAACCCAGATTTGCTTGATGCCAGTGTTTATAGTATTATTCAGTCCTGCCTTGGCATCGTACATTCAGAATATTGTAAATATTCTTTGAACTAATTCTCTGTGATAGGTTACCAAACTGTGAGGTCCACTGACTTAGATCTCCCAACATCCACCAAATACAGTGTGGGCACCTCCAGTAGTCAGATTCCTACTGAGATCAATGCTATGGGAGTAGGAAAAGAAATACGCATTATTCCCTGTTCTAATATTTTATTGCCCACTGGCATGTTACTCTAGAATAAAACTAAATGATCCTGGGATGTGAAAAATTCTTTTGTTGACACTTTAAGTTGAAACGCCAAATGTTTTGATATGTAAGTCTTATGATTCCTAGGCACTTGGTTAGTCATGAAGGTAAAGTGATGGATGTAATGGAGATAAAGTTGAGGGAGAGGGGAGAGGAAAGAAGTTGCCAATGCTCCTCTTACATGTTGTATCAAGGATGATCCGGGTCCATTGTGATTGGCTGAGATTAGCTCCTCTAAGAAAGAAGGTGAATGAACTGGTTTCCACATAATCTGCCAGCGAACTAGAGATATTTATCTCAACCTGTCCCATCCAGATTCTCCTCTAAGGAAACCTTTCTGCTTGTGGCCTCATTCTACACAGTGGTGCTCTATACTGTGTGTTTGCCCCTTGTCTCAGATGAGTGGACCAAGGGGTAGATGCTTGCTGGAAGACAGACATTCTGTGACCTGGCCAGCCATCTGGATGGACTAGCTTAAAATGATGATCTGGGCCGATCAGTTGCCGTTCTGGGAAATTCAGCAATTGGAAACTAAGGCACCAGGCCAGCTGGCAGCAAAGTCAGATTGTGAGAGGATGCCATGAACCATATGGACGCTAAAACTATGAAGGGGCAGAACAGATAGAGAGTAAAGGCTGAGGAAGCTGGTTGGAAAAGAAGCATAGAGACAATGCACAGAAAGAAGGCGAAGACACTAAGACACTTGTATTTAGAAGTGCCTTCGATCCTGGGTGTTTCCAGTTCTGGTCCCTGCCATGTATCCCTGTAACCGCCCGTTCCCCTATCTGAATCTCCTTCCACCACTAATTTTGTGAAGTAACTTGAGTGCGCCTGTTTCTTTCCATCAAAAGAGACTAAAACCATCTTCCTTCCCTTACGTGTCAAGCACTTACAGATATGAAGTATTACTCTTAGTTCTCATTAGTAAATGGATGTGAAAAGTCAGACATTCGAAAGAAAGAACTGGAATGCGCTGAGCCAGAAAACCACATTTTGATTTTTGCACATAGAAAATTTTTACGTTTCATTAAGCATACGTTTCATTAAGAAAGGCTGCTCTCAAAACTTTTTAGAACATTTTGTGTTCCCAGTTGGAGAATGGAGATCAGTAATCTATTAGCCGAACTGCTTCTCTCCAAGTTTAATGTCAAAGTGATTCTAATGTGTCTATGTGAGCAACTGCCTGTGAAGAAAACTTTGAGAGACAAAAGGCTTTCTCCCTTTCCACTCTTTATCCTTCATTCAGACCTCATGCCTGCTGGCCCAGTTTAATGATTTTCTAGAGTTTTTGAACCAAAAAGATTTTTTTAAAAAGTAAAAACAGAAGCCAAAGTTAAATGTCCTTGAATGTTTCCAAGAACTAAGTAGTTAGTCAAGAAAAAGATAAAGTGGATGAGGGCAGCTTTGTGTCAGTTTGCAGGTTAAAGATCACTGTGGTGGTCTTTATGAAATACAAAGGGGACCAGGCATATAAATATGAACAGGTATAAATGCTTTAATTTGACTCAACTTGCCAGGTGAGGAATGTGCCTCAACAAGTGATCTGTTTCCGTAGGGCCAATCACTAGCCTTGGAGGAGCTCAACTCAGCTAACCAGAATAGATCTGGAATATTCTTGGTTTCCATTCCTGTGCCTCACATGCCTTGTCTCTGCAGGAGCCGCTGCTTTTCCTTCCCTAAGTCTCTCTCTCCCCTCCTTCCTCCCTTCCTTCCCGCTCCCCTTCCCTCTTTCCCTCTTTCTCCTTCTTCCGCCCTCCCTTCCCCCTTCCTCCTCCTCCCTCTCCTTCTTCTTCTTCTCCTTCTTCTCCTTCTTCTCTTTCTTCTCCTTCTCCTTCTTCTTATTCTCCTTCTTCTACTTCTTTTCCTTCTTCTCCTTCTCCTTCTTCTCCTTCTCATTCTTCTCCTTCTCCTCCTTCTCTGTCTCCTACTCCTTCTCCTCCTCCTCCTCCTCCTCCCTCCTCCTCCTCCTTCTTCTTCTTCTCCTCCTTCTCCTTCTCCTCCTCCTCCTCCTCCTCCCCCTCCTCCTCCTCCTCCTCCTTCTTCTTCTTTCTTCTTCTTCTTCTCCTCCTTCTCCTCCTTCTTCTCCTTCTTCTCCTTCTCCTTCCCCTTCTTCTTCTTCCCTTTCCCCTTCTCCTTCTCTCTCTCTCTCTCATTTATATTGGGCTTATTCTGAGCTCAGCCACCCTTGAACCCATTCTCTATCTTGTAGGTAAAATAGTTCTTAGGATTTGCTAAGACCTTGGAAAATAAAGGAGGTACTTCACCTGACCAGTGAGGATTGTTTTTGCCACAACTTTGGAAACTTTGTGGATGGGAAATTAAAGGAAGTGGTGCTTCTCCCTGGGCCATACTAGAAGGGTTGTGGTCGTGTTGGACTTGCTGTTGATGCAATAACTCTACAGTTATTTCTGTATACTCAAGGCCTGTCGCTTTTCATTTTCTGTTTCTTCAAGAAGACATGAACATCTAGAGAGTCACATGTCTATGGGGAATTGGAATGCTGAGGAATGGAAACAAATGGAAATATATTACACAAGTGGAACTTCAGCTGTGACCTGAAATGTATTACCTAAGAACTCTGTACAGGTGAAATTTTTTCTATCTCGGTATTGTATAATCAAGTTGCTGTTCAAAAACTCTTCAAATTTCATTTTTTAGTACTTACTTTGTAGGGTTTTTTGAGGATTAAATGAAAAAGTTTCTGTAAAGTGCATAGAACAGTGTTCCTCCTATTATGAGCACTCAATAAATGTTAGTTATTATTATTTTTAAAATTTTTCATACAACAATAATATATTTGTTCAGTAGCAATTGAAATTTACTTGAATTTTAATATTTTGGGTTCCCTGATGCCATTTACCACTGTTTGTTTTGATTTAAAAGGGCCTCAAGTACTTGATAACATGCAAGGTTGATCATCAAAGCATCTTTATTGCACTTGTGTTCACAAAGTACATTTTGGTCTTCTTTTAGTTAGTCTGTTCAATCACATTACAAGATAGAGAATTCTGTGTCAGAGAGCCTGTGGGAAAATGAAGAACCTAAGTGTCTGGAGAAAGTAAATGACCACTATGTAACCCCCATTGTAACCTCTCTCTAGATGAAGATGAAGAAGGACCATCTTCTCTGGGACTTGGGCTCTCACGCGTATTAGGTGAGTGTATGCGTCCACACACATGGATATATGCCTTTGTGTGTCCTGCTCTCAACAAATTCTTTTTTTTTTTTGGCCGTGCCTCACAGCTTGCAGGATCTTAGTTCTTCATAGTTCCTTGACCAGGGATTGAACTGGAGCCCCCTGCTTTTGGAAGCGCAGTGGAGTCCTAACCACTGGACTGCCAGGGAATTCCCAACAAATTCTTTTTTGCTAAGCTAGAGATAGTGAGTCATAATCATTCCTTAAGTTTTTTTTTTTTTTAATTATTTATTTATTTTTGGCTTTGTTGGGTTTTCATTGCTGCACACGGGCTTTCTCCAGTTGTGTCGAGCAGGGGCTATGCTTCGTTCCGGTGTGTGGGTCTCTTCCTAATTGCAGTGGCTTCTCTTGTGGAGCACAGGCTCTAGGTGCACAGGCTTCAGTAGTTGCAGCGCGTGGGCTCAGTAGTTGTGGCGCACGGGCTTAGTTGCTCCATGGCATGTGGGATCTTCCCGGTCCAGGGATCGAACCCATGTCACCTGCACTGGCAGGAGGATTCTTAATCACTGCACCACCAGGGAAGTCCCATTCCTTAAGCTTTTAACTGAAGAACTGCAGTTTGCCAGTTAATGAACGGGACGTATTATCCCCATTTAAGAGCTGGAGTCCTAAGATAGAGTGCCTTGGCTCTTGCCATCAAGAGCTTTGCCTACTAGCCAATAGCTGATGATTCTCAGTTTTACTCTACAGGAGGTAACTATCTTTAGGGAGATGGACAAAATCACACAAGATAATATACCTCATGTATTCTGTATGACTCTAGAAGAACTTAACCATACTATAAATAGGTCTTTTTTTTTTTTTTTTTTAAATATAGGTCTGGGCTGAGAGGGTCTTCTGGGAGGTGTAATGGGCAGGATATATAAAGCATGGACCAAGCCATGGATTCTTTCCTCTTTGCCTTTTACAATTGCCCTCTGTTTATAGAAACCTATTTATGAGTCTGCCTTGGTCATCAGGCAAAATGCCTTATTTATTTCATGATTGTTTACAAAACCAAGGGCCCAGGCTACAGGATATTTATACCGTTGTCTATCATAGCATTCACTGGGAGAAGAGATAAGTGATTCATCTGACAAAAATATTGCGGCTTGAAGATTCTGAGTGCACGAGAAAGAAGTCACCGCATTACCACGTCATGAGACAATGATTTTGTTCTCTTGAACAAATGATGTAACTCATTTAGGTTGATTTCGCCTTCCTCAGATGTCATGAACATAATTTTTGCTTTTTCACTATAGTTCTTAGTTGCTTGTGCAGTGACATCTCAGGTAAAAAGGGCCTGAAGCAAAGTCTGAGTTGGATTCTCCTGAGAACATCAATAAGATTTTCTCCCCTTTTTCAAATAACTAAGGAGTAGATTTAGCCAGACAAGGATAAGGTTCTAGATGTGGAGGGTAACAAGGAGCGGTAAGATTTTTCTAGGTGGAAAAAGCAAAGGGAAGGCAGATGCTTGGGTGTGTCGGTGGCCTAATTTCTGTAGCCCTGGAGCTGCCCAAAGTATCTTCAGAGTGAAGACCAGCCATCTGAGCCCCAAGACAGGACAACGACCTGGGGGTGAAGAGTGGCTCTAGCTCCACCTGCCAGCTCCGCGCCCCCTCAGCTTGGTTCTATTTGCTCTTTATCTTCGGGGCTTCATTGACATCATTCTACCCTATTTCAGAGTGAGATTAGGTGACTTCCTCAGAGCCCATGGGTCCCAGTGACATGTTAGCTACACCAGCTTTGTGTCACCTCTGCTTCTCCAGAAGCAGATTCAACAAGATCACATGATTTTTCAGAGCCTTTTAATGTCTCTTGCCTTTGGCATGTCACTTATCTGACCTACTTCCAACTTTTCATGTTCCAGTCTCCCATCCCTTTTATTTCATCTGACTCTTTCTCATATCATCAGCCCTACTTTCTGCTCCCTTCTCACTAGAGCAAACTGCCAACCCCAGTACCTTTGCTCTCTTGTTCACATTCCCCTCAAAAGTCACCCAAAGTTTCCAGGAAGCAAAGGAGAAGAGCTTAAACTATTTTTGCAGTGGAAAGCCTAGAGATGACTTACCTAAGCATGGCCTATTTGCTGCTTGATGTAGTTCATGCTCTGGCCAGGGGGAAGGTATGGTGGGATTTGCCCAGGCACGCTTTGGCCATTCTGTGTTTTGTGCTGCCCGTGCTGAGTCAGCTATTGTTGAAACAAATGAAGGTAAGTATCCTTGAGGAACAGTGATGGAGGCGTGGGTGACATTCATGTAGATAATAACCTTTCAGGTTAGCTCTGGTCCTGCCCACGCACAGAATCTCAACCCCAGCCAAATCCTTCCAAAAGCAAAGATCATGTTCGTTGTAGACTGTAGGCTCCCTGAGGGCACACATCTCTGTCTGAGTTCTTTTCATTCATGCATCCCAGGTGCACAGAACGGAGCCTGTCCCATTGTAGGTGCCCGATAAGTCTTTGTTAATTTGAATTCCCGCCCGATGGAATTGTTACTCTAGTACCGCATTTCAGCAAGGCTCTTCTCCACCAAATAGCACAATATCAAACAGGTATAGCAGAGTCGATTTTAATATGCTAGTTAATATACACAAGGGAAAAAAAAGATCGTTGTAAATACCATGGGCTTTGAATGAACGTGAGCTTCTGAGGGCTGTAAATGTATTTCAGAGAACAGGACTAAGAATGGAGTAGAAATATACTAAATTTTAAGGAGCATCTTGAACATGAAGGGTAGCTGATAAAGAGAAAATTAAGCTTTTTAATTATAGAAATGTGAAATTGATAAAGAATTCCCTGTTTATCTGAAACACCAAGTTTTCCTAGGACCTTAATATTATTATTCCTAAAAAGCAGGGGTCAAGGGGGCTTCAGACTAGATAAAATTCCCTCCAATTCTAAAAAGTTGAGACTACACAATTATAAATCATCAAAAAATATAAAAAACAAATAAAACTGACGTCTTTAGTCTCTCTTTTGGGAATGAGTGTAGCCCTAGAACAAAAAATCTTAACCTGAAGTGTAGGGTTGTACTTCCTTGTATATCTGAGTTCCCTAAAACCGTGCATACAAATTTTATATATGTGCATTTTTTCCCCTGAGGAACAAGGATCCATAGTTTTCATCAAATTCCCAAGGTAGTTTGAGACCCCAAAACCTTACAAGCCACTGGATTATAACATTTTAGATTGTCTCCTTATAAGGCTTGAAATAACACTTTCTATGTGTCAGGCATTATGCTGAAACACTTTATATGTCTTACCTCATTTAACCGTAACTTCACAAGACTGCTGCTTTTCTGAGAAGTTAACTTTCTCAAAGTCTTACAGCTGATAACTGGTGAAGCTGGGACACCCACCCAGGCTGAACCAGAATGCCGTGCTTTTATTCATTACATAGAACTACCTTCTTTTTGGGAGACAGAACATTTTCCCCAAACCAGAGCCTTTTCAGTCTTAGCCATTACTTTCCCTGTAATTCATCTTTTATATTTATTTAAGAACTGCTTTCTAAGCACCCTAAACCCTTTATACACCCAGGGAGCATTCCTCTGTGGAGCTAGCTTTCTAAAGCACTGAAGCAACTCTCTCCAGACCACTCATCTCCATTCTGTTCTTTTCCATTGTACAACCAGGCTGCAGTAAGCGTAATTTTGTCTTAACTCTCTATTCTAAACTCAGGTCTGGCCACGTGGCACTAATGGACAACCCATACATTTGGAGAGACTCCAAGAAATCCATCCCAAGCACTGAATGGTCCTGGCCCTGTTCCAGAATTTCACTAACCTTCCACAAATTGTGATTCCAGACACGTTCTTACCTTGGCCCCCAGGATAATGGGAGCCACAAAAGAGACAGAAATTAAAATGTCAGCCCAGCTGGGCCCACAGCAATTACAATGGAACCCATTGCCTCTTCGATCACCTGAGTGCACCACATCTGTGCCTCCTGCAGAAGGGACAGCAAAAGAATCCAGAGCAGTTATTTTAGATGTCTCTTTAACTCAGTGTTAACACAGTTGCTACTTAACAACAGCAACTAAGATTTTCATAAGCGACAGGAAAATTTTTAAAAGCAAGGTGAGAAGCAGAGATCAGAATTCTGATGAGCTTTGTAATTCAGCAACCACTGCCATCACTCAAAACCTAAATAACCTGAAATATATGATCAAGGCTGGAACGGCAAGTAAAAGAAAATGTTGTTATTCTCTGCCTGAGAAAAGGGTATCACCCAAACCTTTTCACCTACTGCAGATTCTGAAAGATGAGTAGTATGCCATGTCACTATGGACAGAGAAAAGGATGTCCACAGCCAAGGTGACATCTGAGAGGTCATATAGTTTGTGGGATCATGATAGAAGTTCAAAACATCAATCTGAGAAAAATAAGTGAAACTGATGACTAAGTGGGAAGTATGGGTGGCACAAGGGATTAAATGGTGTGGGAATCAAGACATTGCTAATCTCCTCACTTCCTCCTTTTTTTATTCTTTATAGACCCAGCCACTGATAGGAGCTGCCGATTTCATGTGAAGTGATCAGTTGCTTTTTGTGCTCTAAGGTGCTGATTTCCAACGACTGCAATGTTACATCCATGAGTTCTTCCAGCTTTGAAACTGAGCGCTCCAAGCAAGAAGATCCCTTTTCTTCTGCTGCTATGCCGGGGACACATTGAGATTACTTCAGCCAAAATAACATTTCCCAGCTGACATCCTAACTCAGAGAGGTGGCTAGTCGTGCTAACAAAGAAAACGATGTTTGGTCATAAAGGAGTGTGATGAAACTTTCGCTTTATCTTTTTCTATCTCAATACCACAATATGGGGACGAGTTATTTTCTTAAAGTACTTGTCACCTGCTTTGTGATTGTCGTTTTACTTGGCTGCCTTCTCTGCGAGATTATAGGCTTCATGAGGACAGTTTTCCTCCTCATTGTATCCTCAATACAGTAACAACATTTTTTTTTGAAGAAATGAATAAAGAAAGTCAACTCAGAAAAAGTCTTCTAGTCTATGTTATAGGAATAGTGAAATCTTTTTAGGTTAGTAAAATGTGGGTTGAATTGCTCAGGAATTTTTAATAACCAGTGTTTGTCAGCTGAAAGTATATTATGGGAAAATGTAATACTGAATGCAGTTATAAGTTCTGGAATAGGGACAAGTGTTCAGGCCACAGTGGCTAAGTGCTGTTTTTGTCCTCCAGCTTTTATTTTTACTTCGGGTAACTCTTAGCCAGTGTTAGTCTAGGAAATTGTCCCCTCCTTCACCCTCAGTCCCATCTTATTCTCCTCCCCCAGGTACACTGGGTCCTACACTGGTAGGTGATCCTGTGTGTACCAGAGAACCGTCTTCCGGGGCCACTGGGCTTTGTCCAGCCACAGTTCCAGCTGGTCCTGTCAGAGGAGCGTGTCCTTTCTTTGCTTTGGGGAGAAGTGAGCTGGAGCTGTGTGTGGAGTCTCTACGCTGAAGCCAACAGAGGAGAACGTGGGGAGTGGGGAGATAAAGGGAAAGAGGGCAGGAGAGAGAGGGTCCTGAGGACATACCTCATTAGAGGCAACAAATCACCCACAACTTAACTTTTTTCTGTCATTTGCCACAAAAATAACTCTAACTGGTCCAGAGAATGTGTTGTGTTACTTTGTTTTTGTCTTTGTAAAAGAAAGAAATCATTTAGGTGGCTCCTAGAGGAAGTGCGGTTTGGTACATCTTGGTCTTGTTAGGAAATTCATTATTTTAATGGACCGAAATCTCTGCCTTAGATATAATGTTGGAGCTTCGGGAGCTACAGGTAACTCAGGATGCGTGTGTGCTCTCTTCTACCTGACAGCTCCACATGAAGAGAGCTATTATGACTCATTTGTTCATCCGTTCAATAAATATTGAGCACCTACAATGTGCAGGCACATCTTTTCTTCAGGATTTACGTTTAGACTGTTCTTTGAACTGTTTCTCGTGTCACGGGGATTCTGGACCAGTACTGGTGTTCCCTTCTTAGGAGGACTCCACTGTGTCAAACATCACCTTTAAAATACGGCATCTGGAGCAAAGCATGATAACATCCATTCACATGTGTTAAACATGACTTAAGTGTCCCATGTGCCAGGTATAAGGGTAACACCGATGAATGAGACAGGTTTGTGCTCAGAGGACTCACTGCCCAGAAGGAGGAGGCTGCTCTGTAAATAAGATAGTCCAGCATAGACAGCTACAGTGAAACCCAAATTGTAATAGGGAAGAACAGATTACTTTAACCTTCGTATTCTGTTGCTTTTGCTACAAGTTAATCACTAAAGGGATGTTGCCTGTAGCTTAAGGTATACATAATAGCTCATCTCTGAGAACCCTGCCTCCCATATAATGAGCATTAGGCTAAAATACCTTTGTTTAGCCCACAGGAAACCTCCTGACCAGGCCCACCTGTAAATGGCTACAGGAAAGAAGAAATTAACACATCCTGGAACCAGGACTTTACCCCCTCTCCTTTTAGTATTAAGGAAGCCTGAATTTAACTCAGGGAAGATGGTTCTTTGGGACACTAGTCCACCATCTTCTCGGCCTGCTGCCTTTCCAAATAAAGTCCCTACTCCTTGCCCCAACGAATTGTCCCTCAATTTATTGACCTGTCATGTGGTGAGCAGTACAAGCTTGGACTTGGTAAGAAAATGAGGGAGCTGCCAGTTCACCTTGGAGAGGGGAATCCTTGGAAATGCTTCCTACCAAGGGGAGGTAATTCAGAGTATGAGTGTGGACTTCTGACAGGCAGATGGAGCTGGGGGAGGGTATTTCTGGGAGAGTCAGCAGCCTGAGCAAAGGTAGGGAGGAATGAAACCGCCTAGTGAGTCCATGGAACCGCAAAGGCCTTGATAGGTCAGGAGTGTGGGATATGAGATTGGGGTACAAAAGAGGTAGGATCAGAAAGGTAGGCAGGGTAGAGCCTTGAATGCCATACTGAGGAGCTTAGACTTTTTTCCTACAAGGTGACAGGGAATCTCTAAAGTTTTTAAAGAAGAGGGACAGCATGACGGGTTTACATATTAGAAAGACACTTTGAAGGTGTAAGACCCAGGCGTTGGACCTCTAGGAAACTGAGGCAGGAAGAACAGCTGGGAGATAAGGTCATCTGGATAAGAGATGCAAAAGGATTCCATTAAGGCAATAGCTGTAAGGATGGAAAGAAGGGGATGGATTAAAGGCAGTGAGGACACAGGGACAAGCTGTGCTGTAAGACTCGGCTACTCAAAGTGATTCAGAGGACCCGTAGCATCAGCATCACTTGGAAGAAAAGCAGGTTCTTGGTCCCCATCCCAGACTACTGGATCAGAATCCGCAGCTTAACAAGATCCGCCAGGTCATTCATTCATTCATAGGCACATTAAAGTTTGAGAAATACTGCTCTTGGTGCCTGAGATTTAGTGGTGAAGACACAAGACAGCTGAGGTCTGCACCATCATGGAGTTCACACTTTTGCATGGGAGGCAGATCTGAAACAAGAATTCCATGGTCAGCATTGGATGATGATGGTGATAAGTGCTAGAAAGGGGACATATCAGGAACTTGGACATGCCCAGGGCTGGGGGCTCAGGGGAGGTTTCCCTGCATAGGTTACAGTGAAAAGCCAGGGTGAACCAGGAGAAGCAAGTGGAACACATGTGTATATGTATGAGGGCGTGGGGTGGAATCTCCCATCAGAGACCAGGCTGGAAGGGCCACTGGGGCCTTGGAGGAATGAAAAGTGCCGGAGCAGCGTATGAGGATAGAGGAAGGTCCTGTGAGGTGGGGCTGGAGGTTAGGTGGGAGATGGGGTCAACTTGTCAATCATGCAGAGGATTCTGATTTTTATTGCAAGAAGAAACTAGGAGGAGAAAGCCCAGAGTGGTATCAGGAAGGTGGTACATAGGGGGAGAGCTGATAATCTTTCCTGATGGTTCTGACCAAAGTCCATTCATTCATGGAATCTACTACTTTGGGTTCTTTAGTTTTGACTCCATTTAAGAAAGTTTTACGGAGTTCACACTCTGTATCAGGTCCTATGCAAGGCAAGGGAGGGGTATTCAATATTTAAGATGTGATTCCTGCCCTCAAGGATACCATAGTTTAGTAATGATGTTTTGCTTTGTTAAAGAAGCTTACAGTCAGACCAAGAAGAACTTCCAGTTAATCATTCCCTAAGTCTTCCCACATAGGCTGCTTCTGAGCCAGTTTTCCTTCTTTCTGTTCTTATGTATATTTTTATACAAAATTTCACATTTTTTCGTGGTTTCAGGCAATCCTCCCAACCTGCGATATCTTTTTGAATCTTGCTTTGGTCATCAATTTTCTAGCTCTCTCTCCCAACTTTATGCCACATGCCCATCTGATGAATATGTCCTCTTTTTAAGAAAACTTAAGACCCTACATTGAAAATTGGTGACAGGTGTCAGAGGGACCTTAAGCCTCTTAGCACGGTAGTAACAGAGTTTCCCTTCTGGGTGATTATTGACTGATTAATCAATACATCTTGGGCACCTTATAGTATTTTTTCCTGGGAAGAATCTCTCTATCTTGTAGCTAAAGTGCACTAGTTATGGGGACCTACAGCACCTGTGAATACCTGTGTCACAGTATTTGTAACATTGTATTTTAATTTTGTTACCTCTCTGACCATCATTACGGGGCTGCTGTTTTGCTCATCACCATATTCCCAACAGCAAGCACAGTGTATTGCATATGGTAGGCACTCAATACACTTTATTCAGTGACTTAGCCTGCATAATTTTTTATGAATTTGCAGAAACAGCCAGGCTATTTGATACACTTCAAGGATTGAAATATAGAGTTTAGCCCTCCAGACCTTTCCCAGGTCTGTGGCCAGTTTAGCTCTACATGGGTCAGTAATAAGGCCTCACATTCATTCCCCAGAGTCGGCGCCACAGTATCATACCCTTTGCTTTCTGGAACATTTCCTGATATTTCATAAAAGTTTTTAGTGTCTTCCGTTTATCCTAGAGATTCTGCAAGTGATGCAGTGAAATCTGGAGAAAAGAGATGTGTAACCCCTTCTGCACATAACTAATCCCGCAATTTCATGGGCAGGGTATGTCAGCCCCATACTGAGAGTCAGATAGGTAACAAAATTAAAATGCGATGTCACACATACTGTGATGTGGGTATTCACAAGTCCTATGGATTCTTATAAAGAGTACACTTATCTCTAGCTACAAGATAGGAAGACTCTTTCTAGGAAAAAAATACTGTATGGTGCCCAACATATTGGCTGGATTTTGCCAACAGAACTTTGGTTAACAGGTATACCAAATATAATAACAGCCATGGTTTAATTTGGCAAAGGTTATTAATAACAACAATCAGGGACTTCCCTGGCGGTTCAGTGGATAAGTCTCTGCGCTTCCAAGGCAGGGGGCACGGGTTCCATCCCTGGCTGGGGAACTAGGATCCCACATGCTGTGAGGCCAAAAAAAGATAAAAATAAAAAAATCCTTCTTTTTGATGTTAATCATCTAGACAAATTTATAGCTTTTCATATTATCCCTGCATGTTTCCTATTTTCTTTTATTTATTTTTTGGCCTCATTGCACGGCTTGCGGGATCTTAGTTCCCCAACCAAGGATTGAACCCAGGGCCTGGCAATGAGAGTGCCAAGTCCTAACCATTGGACCACCAGGGAATTCCCGCACTTGTGTTTTTTTAACCATGGGATACTACAGATAACTCATTTTTGAAATTTTCTTTTATTAATACCTTGCTACCTTGATTTTTTCTTATTGTATCTGAAATTCTGTCAGTTTGACAAAAGTACTTGGTAACCTGTTGGTGGGAATGTAAATTGGTAAAGCCACTGTGGGTAACAGTATGGAGGTTTCTCAAAAAACTACAGATAGAACTACCATATGACCTAGCATTTCACCTCCTGGGTATATATCCCCTACAAACAACAAAAACACTAATTTGAAAAGTTACATGCATCCCAATGTTCCTAGCAGCAGTATTTACAATTGCCAAGATATGAAAGCAACCTAGTGTCTATCAACAGATGAATGGATAAAGAAGATGTGGTATACACACACACACACACACACACACACACACACACACCACGAATATTACTCACCCATGAAAAAGAATGAAATTTTGCCATTTGCAGCAACATGGATAGACTTAGAGGGCATAATGCTAAGTGAAATAAATCAGAGAAAGACAAATACTGTATGATATCACTTATACATGGAATCTAAAAAATACAACAAACTAGTGAATATAACAAAAAAGAAGCAAACTCACAGATACAGAGAACAAACCAGTGGTTACTGGTCAGGAGAGGGAGGTATTGGATACAAACTACTGGGTGTAAGATAGGCTACAAGGATGTATTGTACTACAGGGGAATAGAGACAATATTTTTTAATAACTGTAAATGGAGTGTAACCTTTAAAAATGGTATAAAAAATTAAAAAAATTCTTGGTAACATTTATTGGGACTTTTCTACACCCACATCCCAGTTCTGTAATATGGATTTCACAGGCATTATCTTATTTAATCCTCATTTATAAGAGGTATGTATATGACTATTCTTGACTTATTAAAAAATGACATAAATGGGGGAGATTAAATTGCCTACACATTTATATTGGTTTCTGTCCCTCCTCCCAGGCTCCTAAAGTGTTGCAGACCTGAGGTTTGAATGAGGCCTGATTCCAGCACCCAGACCCTTAAGCGAGCACACACAATTCTGCAAAGGGCCCAGAGACTTAGAATGCTGTGCTAGAAGTGCCCTTTGAGACTGTCTGGCTTAGGACATGATGTACACTTATGAACCTGATTCTCTCTATCACTTTCTAGACAAAATGACCCTC